TCTCTCTCTCTCTCTCTCTCTCTCTCTCTCTCTCTCTCTCTCTCTCTTTCTCTCTTAGCTCTCAGTCCCAGGTTAGGATGCTTCCCTGAGCACATGCATGTGTGAGAATATGCCTGGGGCCTCTGAGCATGCCAGGCTCTGTCCTTCTGCTGAGCCTTTGGGCAGAACAAGAGACCCTGCCAACAAGATGGAGTCAGACTCTGGTCACATCCTCACTGGTCATGACTGAGGGCAGGGATATCCTGGCTGGCAAATGCACAGTTTGCAGAGAGAATCAGACTCTGGGGAAAACAGAGCATACAATGTGAGGTTGCTCATTGGCCTCCTACCTAGAAAGCCACAGCAAAGACTTAACAGGATGACAGCACAGTGAGGCTGAGTAACACAGTGTCACGGGGCTGGGCGGAGGAGGGGTGTATAAACTCCTCCCAGCCAAAGGCAGAGCTGCTGAGAAGATCCAGCAAAGAGTCCTGCCACCCACTGCCTCCCTGGCCTCCGGCTCCTCCCTGCTGCCTGCCTATCCTCCTGCTATTACAACTGGACTTCCTCCTCCTTCTCCTTGGGTTCCTCCTCCTCCTCCATAATCTCTTTCTCCTCCATTTTTTTTTATTTGTTTTTTTTTTCCTCTTCCTACCCCTCCCAATCCTCTTCATTTTTCCTTCCTCCTCTTTGTGTTTCATACCTTAACTATCCAAGGAGGAAGGCGCCTCCCTGGAACTCACTCCTGCTCTGTACAGGCTCTAGCACACCTTCCAAACACTGCGCTTCCTTCCCACCAAGGCTGCCTATTGTCTCTCCATCTCTTGGCCATACCTTTGCAGCCTGTCACACAGCAGGACATCTGTGGGACTCAGAACTTGGCCCTTCCTAGAGGCTGACCTTTGTTCTCAGCTCCTAGGAGGTCAGCTCAGCAGCAGCTGTAGTCAGGGAGAGCTGGCCTCACCTGGTCAGCCCAGGGTATGCATAGCCATGTTATGAAGACCAACCTGTGCCCTAGGGCAAGAACCTCGGGCCACAGGGGAACAGCTGTCCTAACACGTGGGCTCAGTGAGCCACACACCTCCCTTGCTGGAGCCCCTGTGAAATCTCAGGCATAGAGCTTGCCTGGTTGGCAGTGCTCTTCATGCCCTGTCCTGCATCTGTGCAGGAGGGTGACATGCCCATCTCCACAGAGAAGACAGTGGGAGCTTTGTATTGGGACTTGCTGGGTATTCTGACCACCCTGCCCTCAAGAACTGGCCCTGTGGCAGTCAGGCCAGCCATTAGTGTGAGTGTGTGGGAAATGTCAAGCCAAGGTGCGGTTTAGACCCGAAAATTTTCTGATTGCTATAGGGACTATCTGTGTCCCCCAAACTGTCATGGCTATCTTTTTCACTGACTGGACAAGGAAGTCATTAAGGCTGGGCCATCTGGTCTCCTTGGGGCTCCATTAGACCCACACGATAGCTCCTTGACCTATCTGCTCCCCCACCTTATGGCCCTCTGCTCCTTGAACCTAGCTGACCTATGATGCCTCTGAGGCCTGGCTGAGAAGCATGAAGAAGCATGACACAAGCTGGCCTGTGTCTCTCCCTCTGACCTGCATATGGAGAAGGACACACAGGGAAGCCACACATCTCACCAACCTTGCTCTTGTCTTCAGTCCTGGCTGCTTGTCGACATGCAGGATGCCAGATGGAAGAGCCTGTGGACAAATTCCCAAGAGGAGGAGATCAGAGGGTAGTCCTGGATGTGGGGTCCGTGCACGAATACCTGCTCAATACCCTTTGACTAGGCCCCATGCCTCCTGTCTGTGACACCGAGAGGGTAGCCCCTGCGCCGAAGCACCTTGGCTGGACCAGTGTGGGCCAGTTACTCCAGTGGACAGCAGCACGGGTTTCAGGTTCAACACACAGCCCAGCCTAAGGTGGCCAGAGGGGGTGATCTCAGAGGTAACATCAAATACAGAGGCAGGCATGGGGAAGAAGTTGTCATGGCCAGGACCCCGGAGAGTCACGGCACCCACACTTGCCAAAGCTTCAATCACAGCATCATCAACATGTCAGACACCAGGTCCATAGAGAGCAGGTGTGAGGTACCAAACAGAGGGCCTTGGGGTGGCCAGGAATGGTGGAGTTCCACACAAGGCCCTGACCATAGGCTTCAGTGTCACTAGCCTGGCCAGATCCTCATTGCTGTGAGGAAAACCCATGCCCAAGAGGGCAGCCTGGACTCCACGGCATAGAAATGCCTGACAGGCCTCACTGCAATGATTGGAGCAGCCCAGAGTCATAAAGGGAATCTTTGTTTCCTGAGATGAGGGCACCTTCATGTGAGCACGTGTCCCAAACAACTGTCCCAAACCACTGTCCCATGAGCCGTGCTTGGCATTGGCTTTCCCTCTGTCTGAGGGCTCCATTGACATTTACAGTGGAACCTCTGCCTAGGGCCTCCCACTGGGCAGCCACAGTGGCTGGCCTGATTCTCAGGATCTCGCCTTGGGAACAACAGGAGACAATGGGGACAAGACTGTCACATCTGACATCATCCCAGGGCTTGCCTCAGAAAAGGGAGGCCTGTCTGACACTCACAGATCAGAATGCCTCTCTGTGGTTTCCCAGTTACTTGTCTGTGGGCAGTACACAGCAGATGCAGCTGCTTCCAGCTCTGTCCCCTGCCTAGGCCTGCTCAGCTACCCTGACAACCCCAGGAGAAAGAGTAAGTGGCCAGGGAAATGAAATTTCAACACAAAGCCATCCACCCTCACTTAGCCCACTGGTCCTGCCCACCCTATTGATAGTCCTTGGCCTCCCGCTTATGCCAATGTCCCTTTGTCACCTGCCCTGGGATGAAAGTAAGCCTCTCAACCAACCTAGGCAGAGCTTGAGGGGTGAGCTCTTTCCTGTTGCTGCATCTAGTCTGGAAAGGACCAGCTCACCAGGCTCAACCAGTCCTCTGTCACCCTTAGCTTGGATGTAGGTTCTCAACAGGATCTCTGCCTTCCTATTCACCCATTCATCCATGGCCAAGCCACATCCTGCCCACACCTCATCTAAGAAGCACTCCCAGCCTTTCTGCTGGTGTATCTGGATCTTTTGGTCTCCCACCAGCTCCCTCTGGCTTGCTGCCCTGGAGGGTGGGCTGGCCTGTATCACCTGTCTTTTCCCAGAACTAGATAGGAACTTGGAGACACAGGCTCCTTGCTCCTTAATTAAACTCTAGCTTAGACCAGGCTGTGACCTCTGTCCAGTCTGTGACCGCTGATCCCCAAGTTTTAGCCTACCCTTGCTGTCTGGTGACATTCCTTTTTCACCTCTGGTAACAAGCCTTGCTCTGCTTTCAGTGAGGGTCCCCACCATAGATGCATGAGCTGGCTAGCTTTCACTCTCAATGCAATACACATAGACTCATCTGTGAAGAGAGTTTCACCGAGGAATTGTCTGGGTCAGGTTAGGGTTACATTTGAATTACTGTAAGATGACTCAACCCATCATGGGGGAAGGGCCATCCCCTGGCTTTGTGTCCTGGACTGTGTAAGAGCAGAGATGGCTAGCTGAGTACCAAGCAAGCAAGGAGCATTTATGCATTAATGTCTCTCTGATATCAACTGTGGGTGTGACTGGCAGCTTTAGGCTCCTGCCTTGACTTCCCTGATATAACAGACCAACCTGGAATCATGAGCCATTAAGCCATTCCTCCTCTATGATCGGGACATTTTATCATGACAGCAAAAATGGAACTAGGATAACATGGTTTCCCCCTTGAGATCAAGGGGTTCAGAACATGCTATCCCAACATGTGACCAAGCAGCACCACGTGACCCCCATGGCCTCTGTGGTAGAAGGATCACTTTGAGCTGGTTACCGGGGACCCAGAAAACTCAGGAATAATACAACAGAAAGGAGGCCACTGCAGAGGGGAAATTCAGATCTGTGTAGAGGTCTCTGTGTGTGAGGGTACATTCTCTCCTGGCAAATGGAGAGAGAGTCAGCAGGGTCCCATCACTGAGGAGGTGCAACTAGCATCTGCAACAGAAAGACCCACACACAGCCTCAAAAATCTCCTTCCTCCATTTGGCATCTTTCTGACACTCTTTTCTCATTGCTAAGAATGTGATACCTTACTCACAAACCAAAGCTAAACTCTGAGCTTCACCCTGGAGATGTACTAACTGTTACCCTGGCTTTCCTGTGCATGTCCTTTTATCCTTCACCTACCTTCCACCACAGGGGTCCCCAAGGGTGAAGAGAAAACTATTTTTACTCCCTACAAGGGCCACTGTCACCCCACTCTGCTTTCAACCAATAGGAAAGGAATGAGGGAACACTGAGCTCTCCATCAGAATTTAATCGCAACCATAGACACTCTGTCTGGGAGGAGAAGCCAGACAGCTGTACAGAGTGGCTTGGTGTCCAGCTCCAGGAGTCCCAAGGACCCCTCTCATTTACTGCACTGTAATATCCAATGAAGATAATTGCAGAGGCTATGACTTCTCAGCAAACTCTTGTACCAGGTCCTGACCAAACACTTTAACCCAGATGATGTCATTCCCAGTAAAGTTGTGGGATGAAATCACGCTGTTTCTTTGACTTTCCAAGAGACAGGACTGGAAAGGGATGGAAAGCCATAACCTCACCTTTAGACCTGCTAGGCTGACAAGCTCCTAAGGCAGCCTGTGTGACCTGGTGTGAATCTACCAAACACCTTTAGTTGGTTGCTCTGTCTCCCACATTGCCTCAGGCGGGAAAGTGACCTGGCAATGCCATCACTTCTCTGTCACTCCTGCCATCTGTGGCCTCACTAGGTCTACAGCAGCATGTCCTCTGCTTGGCTGTGGGATACTCATTCTATTTTAGAGAATGAAACATTGCATGGTTTTAGAATGAGACCTATAGCCACGAAGGTGGCTAAGCTGTGTTTTGACACTATTGTGTTTTATTTATTTTATTTTATTGGTATGGTGTGTGGGCATATGTGACATGGTGAGAAGACGGCTCTGTAGAGTCAGTTATCTCCTTCCACCTTTACTTGGGTTCCAGGAATGGAACTCAGCTCATCAGGTTCCTGCAGCAAGTGTCCATAGCCACTGAGCCACCTCACTGGCCCTGTTAATACAATTTTTTAAAGCCCAGTTGTTGGGGTTTCCATGAACGCATTAGAGGACTCCTTTCTTCCAATTTTCCTCTGCTTTCAATGTTATGAAAGCTGCTTCTCTCCACACTTTAGGAAGGAAGCCTGATCTTGCTGCAATGTGACAGAGGCACCACAAGCCAAGGCTCAGGGAGTGAATCCTCCTAAAAGTCTGTGAATCCTCAAGTGGGGATGAGGTCTGACGGAGAGCGGTTGGACCGCACGGTCTGCTCTTCGGCAGGCTGATCTCGCTTACTCAGGTTCGCTGACACCCTCAGTGGTGACGGTGGTATGTAGAGACCACAGTCTGTATGTATGTGGCAGTGGTGGCTGCTAGCAGCAGCCCCTAGCAGAGCGCACATTAAAGCGACATCCAAACGGCTTACCTTGCAGGTACATCTCCTCGCCTTCTGAGAACATCTGGCCGCACCTGACGCATAGCGCGCACGAAGGGTGATAGTGCTTCTCCCCGGCCTGCGGAAAGCACAAGGTAGGTAAGTGTAGCCACCTGCGGGCCATAGCATGCAGGGTGGCTCTCTGCCCTGTGCACACATCTGGGGAGGCTGGGTGGTGAGCACAGGGGATCCAAGATCTGCACAAGCTAGACAGGGGACACTCAGAGCACCTGAGGGGTCAAAGGCCAGGAAACTAGCTCGGCCCACCTCATCCTTGACGTCCGGAGACCAGTTGTGCAACTTCATTTCTCTGATAATGGGGAGCAGGAGGATAGTTTTGGGGGGGGGGTGTGTGTATTGTTTTTTATCTCTGCACTCCTCATTTTGCTCAACTGACACTTTCTGGTTTAGCAATTCTTAAATTAAAACCGTTAAATTAGATTACAAATTTTAATCCTGAAACAATAAATAGATTACACTAATTGTAACTTCTCGCCTCTGGCTTACTTTTACACGGTGCCAAAAAAAAAAAGTCCCAAAATGCTGTTTCCGCCATCCTCAAGAGTTCCCAGGTTGCGGCAGGTGGGTCTGCTGCTAAATGTGAGAAATGAAGCCAGTGTCTCACGGCATCCTAAAATGGGAAGAGGCCCCATGCCCGCTCCTGAACTTGAATCTTAATTGGCACCTTCCTGAAATGGAGGGTGGCTTAAGAACACCTTCCTCGTTCCCTTCCCCTGCCTGTGTTTTCACTTGAAAAAAAAAAAAAATAGGCCAAGGCCCCTGCATATGAAAAAGGAGAGTCTGGAATGTGCTCCTCTCCTGTGTGGGCCTTGACAGCTGCTCAGCAACTTTCCTCCCAGCTATCAGCTCAGCCCACACCCACGCTCATGTCTTGGGCAAAGGGATCCTTAAGGCAGAGAAGACAGATCCCATCCATGGAGGCTGACCCTAGTCCCTGGCCCTTGTTCTTGTTAACCCTGTGACCTGGGTGTTTTCTGGACCTTCCAGCTTCACCAAAGGCCTTGCTTCCTCCCAAAGCCACCTCCTTCATTGAGGTCTCCCCAACGCCTCCTAAGCTCATCTCTTCTGATCCATTTTTCACTGTTTGGTGAATGTGCAGCTTCATTCTTTTTCCTCTCAGAACACAGTGGGCTTTGCTAGCAGGGCAGGATGCCTGGGTCATACCCAATGACAGCCTAAATGACAGGATAAAAGTCTGGGTCATTTTGGTGATTATAATAGACAGCTTAATGAGTGAGCAGGGTGGTGGTGGTCTGTGTTTCGGGCAAAGGTTGAAAATGACTGTTTTTTTGGAAAAGTCATCTCATTGCCAGAATTTATGTTCCCAGTGTGTAACTCTTCTACCCATCCTCTTCCTGCTCCCCACAAGTTCCCCCAGCAGGTCTATGACAGCCCCAGGGTTAACAACCCCTGTATTGCCACCTGTGTCCATGTGTGAATTGAGAGGGACAGAGAATGCTAGTGGGAACAGTTTCTGAAGCACTAGGCTCAGGGCCGGAGAGCTGGATCAGGGGTTAGCAGAGCTTGTGGATCTTCCAGAGGACCTGAGTTCAGTTCCCAGCACCCAAGCCAGGCAGCTCACTATTACCTGCACCTCCATCTCCTGGCTATTTGATGTTTTCTGCAGGCACACCACACATGTCCCATACACAGAGATATAAGCACATTGGGAGGAGAGGCACACCCAGACACGGACAGACAAAGAGAGACCAAAGCAACAGAGACAGAGAAAGAGACAGAGGGAGTGAAAGAGACACAGACAGTCTGAACAGCAAGGAAGTGAAGCCAGCACAGAGGAGCCAGACCTGGGTTTATCCATGTGCAAGTGAGAGGAACAGTTAGAGGGTAGTGACTATCCTGCTGTGACTGGAACAAGTCCACAGAGGCTGAGTGTGTTCCTAGCTTGAGCGTGTCTGATTTGTGGAAGTGTGTCCAGGTACACATGGCCACTCCCCTCTGCATGTCACTCCCAAGTACAAGAGTTTCATAAACATGCCAAGACCTAACTGCAAGATCCAAAACAGCAAAACCATCAAAAGAAAACCTTGCAAAAGCCCACATTGCCTGGATGGAGACTTAGATTGGACAGCAGAACCACAAACAGCAGAAGGACAAACAGAAATCAGACTTCAAGAAGACCTACCAAAAGCTCTCATTCAGGAAAGGGCACTGGCAGAAGCCCGAGAAGACAAGCTGAAGATGAGGATGGCTTTGTAAGCCATAGATTTAGTAAGGGCTTGGGATGCAGAATAGGTAAGGAGCTGCTGCGGCTCAACAAGACACAGCCCAGAGAAGAAAGAGCAGCACTTTCTGCCTGTGGATGTGGTAGAGGAGGTGTCACCAAAAGCTCTCATCTCTCTGCTGTCAGGTCTAAGTCAGGGTCCTAAAGAGGCTGTACAGGTATGGAAGCGAGCTCTTATTGGAGGGCGGGCCTTTGAAACCACTTCTGAATGTCTGAGGAACCACAAGAAACACTGACTGCAGGGCAGGAGGGAGATGAAGCCGTGAATTGCAAGGCCACACGATGCATATAAAAGAACAGTGAGACCAAAGACAGCTGAGAGAAGGTTCTCGAAGACTGGGTGCCCACTTAATGGAAAAAAAAAAATCTTTTCTTCTATGACCACAGCCAAAGCCACCTCTGTCGCCTGTCATTACAACTGTCAGTACTGCCATAGCCATTGACCTGGCTGACATCATCTTAGCCACCACTGAGGAAAGCCACAGCAAGGGAAAGCAAGGTGTCTGCAATCATGACTGACAGCAGGAGGGAAAGGAATGCTTGGCTCATCACCTCTGAGGATGGAGACTCTGTGGATAAGGTTGTCCTTTAGAAATGCCACACTGTGAGTGGGTGCCACAGTGAGGAATGAGAAAGTAGAGACATGAGCCCTGCTAATGCCTCATGGCCAGTGCTTCATGTAGGCCCACATGGTTCTGGAAATTCTGGCACAGGGGCTGTGCCGGTGACTTGGGTGGCAATGACAATCTTGGTCATGCGGGAAATATCCTGTGACCATAGTGTTGGTGAGTATGGTGTCAGTGTTGATGGCTCTAATGAATTTGGTAACAATAGTGGTTAGGGGGGAGGTGGTCCTGGTTACTCTGGAGAAGGCAGAGGCTATGGTAGTGGTGGGCAGGTCTATCACAGGAGTAGCTAAGACAGCTATAACAATAAGGATAGGGAGGGAGCCTTGCAACGACAGTAGCAGCAACTGAATAGGTGACACCTACACAGGTTGGGAATCAGAAACATCAACCTTCAGACTTTGGACCCACGAAGGGAGGAATTTAGAGGTAGAAGCTCTGGCTCTGTGGTCTGGAGGCTCCTAACATTTAAGCCAAACCATGAAACCAACGTGGCCATGGCGGGCCCCAGCAGCAGCATTTGGTACAGCAGGGAAGGTTCTAACCATTGACAGGAAACAAAGCCTAGGAGGACTGGGGAACCAGAGATGTGACACAGAAGCCACAGGTGACAACGGACTGTGGACTTAGGACAGTACCTGTGACTGTCTGTCTAACGGGAAGGTTTCTTGGAGTGGGGGGGGGGAGCTATGGGACTAGTGAGCAGAAGTTTGCACACTGACTACAGAAGCCTGGGATGTGTTTGTGTGTTTTAGGCCATTCTCAGTGAGACTAACTGCACAGTCTGGGCTCCCTCTGCCGCTGGAAGAGGTTGATCCCTGGCGGTGCTCTTGTCATTGTCAGCCATGTGTCTCTGCTGCTGATGCCATGGCCCACTGCCACTGTGTCTCCCTCACAGCGAGAGGTCTTCTAGTCATCTGCCCAAACAGGGTTTGCCCACAAGAATACCGAAGCACCAAGAGTAGATTGCTTCAGCACTGAATACCTGGCCTAGTCCCTTGCCTGCTTGAGGGTCAAGATGGCTCAGATCTGAACAGTGTGTACATCAGGAGCCCAAGAGGTTTCAGCAGGGTGTGGTTTTAGAAAAATCTTAAACCTTCCAAAAGGCAACCATCATCTTTAGCAAAACAGACCAACGCCGGGTGCGGTGGTGCACGCCTTTAATCCCAGTACTCAGGAGGCAGAGGCAGGCAGACCTTTGTGAGTCTGGTCTAAAAAGTGAGTCCAGAACAGCCAAGGCTACACAGAGAAACCCCGTCTCGAAAAAATAACAACAACAACAAAAATAGACCAAAGCTGGCAATGGAGATATGAGCAACCCACAGGGACACAGCCCCTGCAGCCCCAGCAGGACCAGGCCAGTGGACAGGGCTCCAAGGATAGCCCCAGCAGCCCTGCAGAAAGGGTCAGTGGCAGTAAGGTAGGGTAGAAGCCTCATGCCCTGAGACTCTGCCTCTCCTCCTCCACAGGCTGGAGCAAGGGACCACTCCTCACCTACCAGCTGAAATCCAGACTTTCCTAACATCTGAGGCCAGTACCCTGTTCCTCAGACTCAATCATAGGGTCTGATAGAGCAGGTTACCTAGAGACCTGGACATGCCGTTTGCTGCCCCTGGGTTCTCCTTCAGTTGCCTCATGAAAAGCAGAGCAGGCCTGAAGGTAACTGCTTGGAGCCCGGGTCATTCTTTGGCCAGTCTCAAAAGTATACATCCCTTTATTCTTGTTCATTTTTTGCAGTGTTGGGTTTGAACTCAGTGTCTTGCCTTTGCTGGGCAATTGCTCTCCCACTGAGCTATATCCCAGCCTTTGGTCTGTAGAGACAATCTCACTTTGCAGCACCAACTAGCCTTGAACTTGCAAGTCTCCTGCCTCCACCTCCTGAATGCTGGTATTCCAGGTGGGTGCCACCATGCCTGGTTTGCAAATTGCTCGTGAATTCCCAATACTAAATCCAGATGTTAAAAGTCCTAATTGCCATGGTGCAATGAGGAAATGAAATTTACAATACCAGGAATCAAAGTCCCAGAGCAGGTGCCAGCAGCTCAGAGGTACCTGACGGCTGCCTCAGCATTGGGTCCCTGGGGCTTTTCCACCTGCGACCTTGTGGGAACCACTTGTTACCAAAGGGAGAGTCGAGTTAGTGCATGTCCAGAAAAGCCCTGGAGTCCCTTCCCAGACTCTGGCTCTGTCCCTAGGCTCACCCCCCTTATCACCACACTGGCTCCTCACATCTCAGGATCCATTACTGACATGCCAAGCCCACTGGTTGCCTCTCTCTCCACCTCCCCTCTTAATCCTCACCATCAACTCCACTTAGGAAGTCATCTTGGGAGGCTGTACCATCTACCCATACAACCACCCTAGGGCCCACCTAGGGATGCATCTGAGGGGAAACATAGGCCTACAGTTAGACATAAGTACTCCCTGGGGAGAGAGAGTCCTGGCCAAACACATGTAGGAACAGTTGAGAATCCCAGCCTACAGTGGAATACACATTTGTGCCTGTATCCGTGTGTTTGTCTGCCTGCTGCCTGTGTCAGTTATCTGTATGCAATAAATGCCTATATCTCTGTGTATGTGTGCTTGTATGTGGCATGCTGTGTGCCTTGTTGTGTGTCTTGTGTATTGCATCCATGTGAAAGTCTGTGGGTTGCCTCTGTGTTTGTGTGCCTATGTGTGTAGGTGAAATACAAAAATATCACTCCTAAATGCTGAACAGTTTAGGTGTCAGCATTCATTAGGAGCAATTTTTATTTATTTTTACAAAAGCCAGCATGTCTTTTGAAAATAAGCACACTGGTTTTAAGGGCTTGAGATGCTGTCTTCATTGCGGTCTTCAGCTTTTCAATGCCCCCAACTAGTTGAAAACACGGTTTGTTCTCTGCCAGTAGTAAACAGCACAAGCCCATGGAGTGGCAAGGAATGCTCCCAGGGGAATACAGAAGCGGGCAACTGAAATTAACATCCTGCCGTGACAGGAGATGGCATTCAAAAACCAAACTGTTGGTGTGGGTCCTGACCCGGGGCAGAGCGACCTGGACAGTCCCCTCTTGTGCAGACATCCTTCACTTCACAGCAGGGACCCGGTTACTTCGTTTCTGTGAAGCCAGCCCCCAGCTCACAGTGGGACACAGTGAGTCCCATAGGAGTTAATACCAGGAATGGAGAAGGAAAGAAAAGGGGAATGGAGGAAGGGAGGAAGTGAAGAAGGAATTAATTAGTGGTCCTCTGGGCTTTGTGTTACCATGACAATAGCCATAGGTATAAAACTGCACTGAAAGCGAGATCCATCAGGGTTAAAAGAGTGGAGCCTAATTACACCCCCATACCCTGCTCACTCCCTTTGCAGTGAGAGGAAATAGGGCTTATAAGGTGGCTGGCTAAGGAGTAGGCTCTGAGCACTGCCAGGAACACCCCCCTCCTTCCACACCTCTCTCCTATACCCAGCTCCAAAGGACTCCCTATAGGCATGCCTCATGAACCCTCCGGCAAACTGCCACTCTCTGTGAGTTGACTTCAGCCACCTCAGGTCTGTAGCTTTGTAGCCAGGTGTGAGCTCTGCCTCATCACCCACACAGCTCCTCTGCTCTTACCTGTCCATCTCTGCTAGTGCCCCTCCTGTGCTCCCACAGGTCCCCACTGAACAGAGCTGCTGTCAGTGACAAGAGTGACAAAGGATAAGAAGAGGGAGGAGTACCCCCTCCCCATCACCAGGAACACACATTTCCCAGACAGTGCTGCTGGCACCAAGAGCTTAAGATGGCACCGTGCCGGGCTCACGCAGTCATGGCACAAATGAGCCTCTGTGGGGGAACACAGGAGGCTCCCACTTAGGCTTCACAGAGAGAACAGCTGGGGGCTGAAGATGATCTTAGCGGCAAGAGGGACCTTGTGTGCTGTGAGGACCTCCAGCAGCCCACCCATCTGGCTCAGCACAGCTCTTGCCAGCTCTGCCAGGCTTCCTACCTGTACAGGATCTGTCCCCAGCCCTTCTCAGCGCACGAGCCTGGACCACCTGCCCCGAGGGCGTCACCCTTGCCCTCAGCCAGCCTCCGTACTCTTGTCCTTTTTCTTTCTTTCTTTCTTTCTTTCTTTCTTTCTTTCTTTCTTTCTTTCTTTCTTTCTTTCTTTCTTTCTTTCTTTCTTTCTTCCAATAAGTCACTCGTTCCTGCGAGTTCCCCAAGAGCCCAGTATCACCAGCCGGGCACCAGCTTGCCTGGCCCAGCTTCAGGCAGTGCCACTGCAGCGCTGCTCCCTTCTGCAGAGCTGGCTGTCTCCACCCGCAGCTCCCACCTCACACCCGCCAGGAGGATGCTCAGAGCTGTGCAGAGCCAGCAGCACAGCGACTCCGTTGCGCCACCTCCACTAACCACCACCGCTGCTGCAGCACACTCGCCCCCAGAGAAGGCAAAGCCAAAAGCATGCAACCCCTGGGAAGCCCTTTCTCCTCCACAGTAGACTGCGGAGGAGAACCAGGACTGCCCAGATTCTGTCAGCTAGGACAGCCTCTTTCCACAGTCCAGACGGAGTGGTGCTTCACAGTACCCAGTCCCAACTTCTGCACTCGGCCCAGAGTCACCCAACAAGGATGTTCAGTCTAAAGATGAGGTCATGTGCTCGCCTTGCTCTCACCACACATGGGGGACACCCATGGCCCCACAAGCAGCCCCACCCCCACCCCCCACCCCGTGTATTATCCTGGAGCTGTGACATAGGACATGTCATAGCTCAAGCCTCACCAATCCTCTCAGAGCCCTGCTTTCGGTACTGGGCCAGATCTGCCTGCCCAGGCTAGCTTTTCTAGGTGAGGGTGTGTGCTGACCTCTGCAGTGAAGTGGTCCAGGTCCTTAAATGTGCTTTTAGTCGCAGCGGCAATGGCAGAGATGGAGCCCGGACGCACCCACATCAGCCCACAAGGTCACAACTTGGTGAGACAAGATTAGATTACCCTGCTACCCAAGGTAAGCTCTCTGGCAGAGGTTAGGAGATTTAGGGCAGTCCGTGTTCAAGTGAGGCAACGCAGGAGGATTCCTCACACCTGGCTGAGCTCTAGAGTTTTTTTTTTTACTTCAAAGAAAGAGGGACAGCTGTGTGGTCAGCTAGGTGACAGGTGCCAAGGTATAAGGGAGAGGAGGGAGCCCCAGGTCCACAATGGAAGACAGACATGGTTTCCTGAGCTTGAGGTCCTCAGTGGGACAGCAGAGTGTAGGCTTCAGAGTGCTATGGTGAGGGACACTGTGTGAGAGTCAGGGAGGCCAGGTGGATGGTCAGATGAGGTGAAGGCACACAGCTGCCACAGCTGCAGCGGTCCCAGGAGCCTCATCCAGGCTGATTTCGGCAAGTGCTCTTTTTAATAGGCACCATTTAAGCTGTTTTAAAAGCTCCTGGGGGCACACGGCACTCTGGAGCAGGAAGCAGGAGGATCAGGAATTCAAGGTCAGCTTCAGCTGTGCAAGAAGTTCAAGGCCACCGTTGGGCTACATGAGACCCTGATTCAAAAAAATTAAAATTAAGAATAATGAAAATAAAAGGCACTGAGGAGGAACTTTTGTCCAGAGAGGGAAACAGAGAAGGATCCTGGGAAGAGTGAAACTCCAGAGAAGGCGGAAGGAGCAAGCAGGGGGAGAGTGGATGGGGACTGGACCAAGCTTATGCGGGATGAAGCAGATTGGTCTTTTGTCCTAACCCAGGATATGCCTGTATGAATACCAGCTATGCTCCCCACCCAAGACAAGATGCACAGGACCAGCAGGAGATAAAAGTCACAATCTTACTACATAATCCACTCAAACAACTTGAAGACACCAGTGCAGATGCAAGCTATACTTATGAAGAAGAGTCAAAGCAGCCAGCCTGCCTGAGGACCAGGGAACGGCAGAGCCTTACAGGGCCAGGTTGGCAAAGGCTGGGGTGGCAGGAGAGGCTGAGAAGACCCTTGCTGAAAAGCGAGCAACTGCCACAAACTGCACAGGCATTTGCAACTTTGAGCCAGCATCCATGTTTCTGTGGACCTATCTGAAGGAAGATTAGAAGCTTGAAGGTAGCCTTGGGAAAAGATGTTCACTGTAGTCTCATTTACCACAGCCAACCAGAGCATGCCCTGCCTAATGACAGGACCAGTCAATCACATCCCAGGTCCCATGTCGAGGAGGTGTGTGATACATGCTAATGCATGCTTACATCTCAGAGAGCTACGAGCATCAGGCTGTAGAATAGAAGCGGGTTGAGAGAGCTTGCACACATTGTGGCGCCATCAACACGAACTCTGTACGGTCAGAAAAAGGCTTAGCGTGTGCTCAGGGTTCTGGGCACAGGGAGGGGTCAGCTAGAGGATTTAGGGCTCTTTCCGAGATGACTTAGCTCTCAGAGTGCCAGCCCTGGACACAGGCTTCTCACCTCCAACACGCGGCCTGTGATGTACCTCTCACAGCCATCGCAGCGAATGCCGAACTTGGTGTGATAATCAGCCTCACAGTAGGGCAGCCCGTCCCTGCAATGAGACAGGCAGTCAGGGCAGCATGGAGTCACCCACTTGGCCCCCAACACATGACAAAACTCACACGAGAACTTTTTATCAACATGGAGTCAGGGTAGCTTCCTACTACTTTGAGGGACAAGTCCTGGGCAGGTAGCATTCGTTTGCCATCAGCTTTGCCACTGCCTGAGAACTATGAAGACCACCCACTTCCCAGATGTATACACAGAGGAGCAGGGGTCAGGCTACCTGCCCACTGGATGAGAGAGGGGAGAGGGACAGCTCCAGAGACTGAGCTAAGGAACAAAGGCAGCCTCTGGGAAGTGAGAGGATGCAAAACAAGGGCACCCATCCTGAGAATAAGAATGCCTTGGACAAGGGTGACTTGAAGGCCAGCAGCAAGTACGATAGAACAGGAGGGCACAGGGTACCTCTGGCTGCAGGCGGAGGCTCCTGGTGTGAATCCTGCCTGTTCTCAAGTGTGGCCAGACACCCAGTGCTGTGACGGCAGCAGGAGTCAGCATAGAGGGAGATTGTGCTGGGACCTGCACTCAGGAGAGTGGCTGACCCTGTTCAGTGTTAAATGGACTAGCATTACCCCACTATCCCTGGGAGATACAAACAGGATATGCCTAACCCACCTCCCCTTTTTCTTCAGCACAACGAGCCTAGCAATAGACGAAGGGCCACAAAGGCAGGGAGAGCGGGCTCAGAGAAGGGAAGGCTTGGGGAGGCATGGAGGTAGCACGTGGCCACACTCAAGATGGGAAGGAGTTTCTGGGAGGAGACCCTGGACTCAAATGCCATGTCCCAAGTGTGTCACTTAACATCACTTAACCTCAGACCCTCCCACAGGAAAACAGGAGAACTGAGAGTGAGGTCCTGACAGGCGAAGGCGATGCGGGGGACTGGCTGAAGGCAAGCACTTGTCAGTGTCTTGGACTCCTGGTGTTGCTAGCTGCAGTCGTCTCGAGCCACAGGCCACAGCCCAGCAGGAGTCAGTGTGGAGGTGACAGGACGGACTCCTGCCACTCTAATGCACGCCCACTGCTGGAGCAGCAGCTCTTGTGAACTCTACCAAGATTTCCCACGACTATGACAAGCATTCTCAGGCTGGTGGGGTTTAGACTAGATGCCACATTCCTTCCCTTCACAAGCCCCCAGAATGAGTTGCTGGTGGCCCTCTGTCACCACCCTCCACCGATCTCATCTCTCAGAAGCTCGTCCCAGAGGGAGGAAGGATGGAGACCCGGAGACCCCACAAGCCCATGTATCTACAGCAAGCCCAGGGCGTTCTTAGATACCATCTCCATGGCAACACCAATGTAATCTCCCCCTCAGTTCTGGGCTGGCTCTGGAGGCTGCTAAGTAACACGCTGGTGTGGGTGAGCCACCAACGCCCTGTGTGGGCTGGCACCTGATTGGGAAGAGGGGGCAGCACAACGCTGCCACTTTCTGCAAAGAGCCCCGCACACCATGCTGTCTGCCCGAGTCCCTCCCCACAGTATGGTTGTGATGGAGGCCAGGGGACAGGCTTCACGGAGTCATCTATCTGAATGGAAGCTCACTTTGGTTTGGGGACATCATTTTAGACAGCGTTTCAGTTTGTGGTCAGTGGGCCACATGGTATTGTAATCAGGAACACAAAGAAGTCCCTGGTACTCTCTATTCGGTCCCTTGTGACGGAGTGTGCTGTCAACCTCCGTGTCAGCCTGAGCGCATTGGCAGCTGCAACTCTGAGCAGTTGTGTGTATGTACATGTGTCTGCATACACATGCATGTGTGTTCATGTTTGTGTGTATGCAGAGGCATGCATGCACACACGCGTGCATGTCTGTATGCATATATGTGTGTGCACCTACATATATATGTGTATGTACATGCAAGTCTGCATGCATGGACTCCACTCTATAAAACCTTCCCACTGAATGTTTTTCACCTGATCAGTGGCTTCCGATTTTGGAGCATGGAAGAGGACCTTTCCTGTACCAGGGGGAACTCCTCCAGCCCCCGCCTCCCCAGCTCACTTCATCTGCACTGTGAGGATTCTCTGCCTCATCTTCCTGATCCCAGGGTGAAAATACATCCCAGCTCAAGACATGATCCCACAGTCCCTGGCAAATGCTCTGTCCTGCTCAGGCAGGTTCACCCATCCAACAGCAAGCCGGGGGAGCACTGAGACTAGGGGATACCTCAAAGGCAATCTCTGCAGATCAGAGCATGCACCTATAGGTGCCCATGTCCCGTGGAGATAGCCAGCCCCATGAGTCCCTGCAGCTAGTGTCTAGCGGCTGTTATGTGCTCCACAGAGCATCGAGTGCCAGGAATGTCCAGCCCAAAGCAGGTGGTAACATCCTGGAACAGAGAAGCGGGTGTTTTGTGAAGTCAGAGCTGGCAGCTCTAGCTTCTAGCCACAAGTCAGAGCTGAAGAGTTCGAGCCACTTCAGCAGGTCTGCCGGGAAGGAAGAGCAGCTCTGTGGGACCAGTGCAAGCCTTGCCCTTGCGCTGTACCCAGTGGCAGGGCGAGTCAGCATCCGCACCAGGACTAGACACCCTGCCCTACCTGTCTAGAGGTAAAGAGGGATCGGGCAAGGCCTTCCTGGGCTGGCGCTGCCCACCACACACACTTACTTGCTGATGTACTCTGCATTGAGAAGTTTCCCGCAGGTCTTGCACTTGAAGCAGCCCAGGTGCCAGTGTTTGTCCAAAGCCACCAGGGCCTGGCCATTCTTGATTTCTAAGCCACAGCCCCCACAATCTGGAACAGAGAACAAACATGGATACCTTCACTATGAACCCTTGTACCCTCAGGGGGCCCAGCAACCCCACCAGGGTCACTCAGAGTGACCTGGACTCAACCGCTTGGAATCTTAAGGCCCCACAGGGCTGCCCAAGAGGAGAGGGACAGGCACAGTGGCATGCTAAAAAGACCCTGCCTCACAATTAAAGGGAGCCCTTGTACAGCCCCATGGTGAGGCTTGATCCTGTGTGAGGAGCACGGACACTAGGCAGCCTGCGCTGGAGGCTGGGAAAACCAAGGTGGAGATGAGACCCAGACCTAGCCTTCTAAAAGATTGGATTCGTCATGGCACAAAACCATAATGTCACACCAGAGTGTACTGGGGTCTAGGCTGGCATCTCACCAGTGGGACATGATTTCCCTGGGGAGGTCTGAGCCTCTTGCCATTCCTACTCCTGGCCCACATTCCCACCTGTGGGGATTCCCCTCCTGTAGAGGTCTGAGTCACAGCCTTCTCGACTCTGCTCCACACCTCACCTGCTTGGAGCCCCTTCCTGGGAATTCTCTGAGACACATACACTCAGCTCCTCCTCTGGCTATCTGAGGCCCCCGCATTTGGGATTCTCTCCCCATCTGCTCTCTGTTCTAGCCCCTAGTCTGCTGGGGCCTTCTAACAGGCCCGGCAGCTTCTGCGCCAGTCCTGTTCATACCTTTCTTGCTCTGAATCCCACAGGATTGAAGAATCCCACTGTAGTGAAGCATGCTGGTCTTCACAGGTAGCATCCTCATCAATCTCCCCAGATGCCTCTTCCCTCCCAGCTGTGCCCATCCCTGCTCCATATGCCTGGGGGCCCTGGGTCTGCCTGCTCTGCTGAGCCAGCTGGTCCCTCCATACGGGGAACTGCTACACTGGGGCCCCTGTCACTTACTGAAAGACGTGTGGGAGCTATCAGCAAGGCAGAGTGGGAAAGGGGTGTAGGGCGAGCATGCAGGAGTGACTGTGGAGAAGCATACAGCATGCGTGCATGTCTCTGTGTAAGGATTTATAGGTACACTACATGCTGTGTCAGTCCGTGGGGGCACACTGCCTCTTAATTTCCAGGGTTGGGTTCCCGGACCCCTGGGACACTGAAGTCTTGTCCAGGAAGAGCCATAACCTTTGCACATCATTACATACATGCCACAGGCTTACAGTTTCTTGGGCCAGTACTCTCTGGAGCACCCAGACACCAGGCGAACAGCCCTCACACTACTCACTGGAACTAAGGACAAGGGAGATGTCTGTATATGCTCAGGACAGACACAGTTTGCCATTTCGTTTGTCAACACGGTACCACACACTGGACTAAAAGCCACGTCATAGTTGAGGGTGACTTTGAACTCTCGATCTTCCTGTCTGGACCCTGCAAGTGCTGGGGTTACAGGAACACTCAACCACGAAGAGTCTTATGTGGTTCCGGGCCACATTCTGTGAGCACCACCATGCCAGCAGCACCCAGACAGGGGTGATTTGTTCCCAGAGGAATTTTAATAAGATCTGCAGACTTTTTCGATGGCTCCAAGTGGGGTTAGACCTCCGTGTACGCAATGTGGGACACGGGGGAGAAGGTAAGCCTCCTGCCCAGCCCCACACATGGCCCCAAATGCCAAGAGTGCTGGGACTGAGCAACCACTCTGAGTGACAGCTGGTCTGTGGGTGACACCACACTGGACTGCTGTGAAGGCCACAAGGCAGGCCTCCTGCAGAGGTGGCAAAGAAGCAACCTCCAGGTGAGGCCCCTGGGGCTAACTGCATCCCACCCGCTATATAACCACTGGCAAGTCACTTGAGTATACTGAGAAAAGGGTGATATTCTTGTGGGCTAATAACAGTTCTAACTCACTAGAGAGCAAATCTAGTGAGAGAGCACAGGTCCTGGGTGTGAAGGCTGTGCCTCATGAATAAACAAAGGCAGGTAGAGATGACATCTACCAGAGCACCTGGCTTCCTTCTAGCAACTACTCCTGTGGCCAGAGCTGGGGCTTCTGCAGGGGTACAAAGGCTTGACTGGCATTCTGTTGCCACTAGCCCACCTGGTACCCGAGAGTAGCAAGAGGAAGACTGTCTGGGTTCCTCTGCCTGGGCCCCACAGGGACAGTCTGTGGCCACCATGAAGTTGCTCTCAACAACCTCCCCCATCCGTGTTACTGAAAGGTACTTAAGGAATGTTGTCATGGGAACACAGTGCTCATAGTCAATTCCTCTGGTGCCCTGGAAGCCCTGTATGGCTCTGCCAGTGGCAGAGCAGTTCTGTGACAGCTACTGCCTATATGCCAGCCACAGAACACCCTTAGCAGTCTATGAGAGACCCACATGGGTTCCCAGAGACAGCTGGGCCTTGCCATGCACATTGCATATGTCTCTGTCATCAAGGTGGACCTGGTCTTGTGGCAACACCACAAGGGAAGGACAGAGAGGAGACTGGGAAGGCTTCCTGGAGGAGGAAACCTAGAGCTGAGTGACAACAGAAGAGACAAGCCGAGGTGGCTTGACACAAATACAGCCTGTGCAAAAGTTTAGTGGCAGGAGTGGGGGTGGGGTGGGATTTCTTCCTGGGTCCCTGGCATTCAGTGCTCGGTTACTGTGCTGGCTCCACAAAGTCAGGCTCCATCCCAGGCCCTGCAGAGACCACTCCAGCTTGCAGCTCAGAACCCACCCTCACAGAGGCCTAGCCATACTTACTCCGGAGGCCCTGGGCCAGGTGAGCACTGCTGCCCAGTGACGTGGGCGGGGAACACTTCTGGCACATGCACTCCTTCCCGTTGAAGGTCACGCGGTCCCCAGGAGGAAAGGGCAGCCTGAAATGAGAGTGGACATCCTGTCGGCCACCTCCGGCCCTTCTCTCCTGCTGCCACTTCAGGGCATGTCTTGCTGACTCAGCAGACGTTCCTCTTTCTGGAGGACCAAGAACCTACACAGACTAGGCTGGGCCCAGGTCCTAGCCTTGCTGGCTGGTCCTGCAACCTTCGTGGCTGCCCTTGGTCCCCTGAAGCTTATAGATACCTGCACTTGTCACCTGCTAGGGCTGTGGTCTGAAAGAGATTATGTCTTAATATGGACATGCTGCCTCTCCCCAGGTAAAGGAGACTGTAGAGTTGAGTGGGAGTCTCTGACAGTCTCTAATGCACTCTGAGTCATACTCCAACTGTGCGACCTGTAATACATTACTAAGCACCTCTGTGTTCCCGTTTCTCACCTACAAGAGAAGACTAACAGCATGCATCACGGGCTCGCCATCCATTCAGACATGCCTTTCGGGATATGCTAGCCCGGATGCCAGGGCTGGAAGTGCTGAGCAGCCATTCCCCTGCAAACTTAAATGGTAATACATTCTAGAAAATGCACACTCAGTATAATCGCCATCGATGTGCCATGGACCACGTGGCTCGTGCAAAAATGTCCCCGTGGCCCTCTCTTGCCACCCCACTTCCCATATCCCAGACAACAGAGCCATATGAATGTTTTGTTTGATACCACACTGCCAAGATCCGCCCATGTTGCTGTTCCGGTGTCAGCAGTCTGTTCTTTCTCAGGGCTGAGAATTACTCCATTGCAGCTGTTGGAAGGGCACCTGGATTGCTCTCTCCCGGAACTAATGGCACCTGTATCACAGGACTTCCAACCCAAAGTGGAATTTCCGGTCACCTACTATGTGGTTCTGTCTCCAAGGAAGCTGTACCACTTCTTGTCTCCTTGTGCCACGGCCTCACCAGCCCTTGCTATTAGCCACCGCATGTTGTATCTGTATGAGCCGGTGCAGCTGGCATCTCACAGTTGTCTTGGTCGATGTCCCCAGCAGCTAATGGTGTTAATGTAAGTGTGTTTTCTGTCTCTTCTGGTCATTTCTGTATGCTCTTTGGTGTCACATCTGTTAAACCGCTTAGCTCATGTTGTATGTTTTTTATTGGATTGTAAAAGTTCTAAAGAACTTTTTTGTTTGGTCTGTGTTGGCTGTTTCCTTCTTGCTACGATGAAATGCCCAATGAGAAGCAACTTAAGAGAGGAAGGGTTTACCTTGGCTCACAGGTCAAGGGCAGAAGCCCATCATGTTGGGGAAGGCATGGAGACAGGAGTGGAGGCTGCTCTTCACACTGTTCCCAGGCAGGAGTTGGGAGAGACTAGGAAAGGGGGTCAGGCTATAAAGCCTAATCACATGCCCCCATGACCCACTTCCCCTAGCAACACTCCAATTCCTGAAGGTTCCACAACCCTCCCAAATGGCACCCCCATCTGGGGACCAAGTATCAAAACACATGAGCCTGTGGGGGACATTTTTACCCAGTCCACATCAGGGTCTATCCTCATAACCCTGGCTCTCCCCCTGCTTTAGATTTTGTCTGTTCTGACACAGAACTTCACTCTATAGCTGAGGTTAGCCTCAAACTTGGGATCCTCCTGGCTCAAGCTCCTCGGTGTTGGGATCTCAGGCTCTGTGCCGACATACCTGGCTGCTTTGAGATTCTATTGATATCTTCTGACATTATTTTCCTCCAGCCTGTAAAACCATCACCCAGTCACAGGGCAGGCCTGCTGGGGCCAAATTCACTTAGCTCTTGTGGGTCCAATAAAGATTTTGTCTTCATCTTCTTCTATGCTGCCTGTTTATTGATGCTCACTATTCGCATGCCTCATTGTATAATCCAATGAGGCATACCTATATACCATAAAACCCAGAGCTGTGAAATCATCACCATAATCAATTTTAGCACATTTCAATCACTGTTTGAAATGGCATTTTAATCAACAAGGTCAACTGTGGACCAGTTTAATCATCTCTCAGAGTGGCCTTGGGCTCTGAGTCTGGCCTTCTTTTACAGAAATATTTTGGCTAAGTACAGCATTGTTTGGTGGCTTTTATTTTCCTCTTGGCAGTTACAGACATCGTCTTATTGTTTCCCAGCATGCATAGCTCCTGGTAGAGGTCTGAGCTCATCCATACTCCTCTGCAGACATGATGGTTTGGGGGTGATTTCTGTTGTAGTAGCTGTAGCTTTCCTGTTGATTTTAGACATTTTTTTTTTCTTTCAAATCTTTAGCAGTGTGGCTGTGAACACCTGGTGAGTTCTCTCTGGGGTGTTGTAAATAGGGTTAATTGTACACATCTGGGTACTCTCTTAACTGTGAACATCTGGATACTTTCTTAACTGTGAACATCTGGATAGTCTTTTTAGGGTCACTGAGACCTGGGAGCTGTAGGCTTCCAGCTTTCAGCAAATCTAGACAATTTTTCATTTATTATTTCAAAAGGCTTGATTTTCTGTCTCCCCTGCCTACACAAGCATTCAGACAGACATACAGACAGACCAATGGAGAAGCAGACAGCGGCTCTACATGCACCCCCTGTGTACCAGTGTAGATGCTCCGACTGCCATTTTTGGGTATCCAGTCATTTCTTACATGTGACTTATCACGTCAGGAGCTGAGTGTTCGGCTTCTAGGTGGCCAATGCCTTCTTTCTGCACCTCCATAGCTCTCCTGCTCCTGGACACAGTTTCCTTTAAACCACAATGAGTAGGCATGGCTATCCCTATGCCCGTGGCTGCTGGTGTCACCCCTGGCAGTCTCCACTAACCTTTCTTCGGGTTTGGGTCAGCGTCTCCTCTGGGAGTCTGCATGTTAAGCAAATATTGGATGTCATAGACTTTATACAGTTGGGTGCAGGGCTCCCACACCTTCCTGTGAGGGGGGTGGGCTCAGGAGGCTGTCAGCTTCTCCTAGGTGACATCTCAAGGAGGCTAACCTTTCACCTGCAGAGTGGGTGCACAGCAGCCCCTGCTCCAGGGCTGACTGAACCCCACCAATAAGACCCACCCCTGCAGTGACCAACAAGGACCTCAGTACTCCGAACTCAGTGTCCCCTGGGAACTGTGCATTGCACGGTAGCCTTGTCGACCCTCAGCCACTGATAGCACGTGTTCACTATCAGCTTGACTGGATTGAGAAACATCTGTCAACCATTACAGTGCACCTCTGGGTGTGTCTGAGAGTGTTTCTAGACAGGAAGCCCACTTGAATGTGGGCAGTTCCAGCACCACTGTGCATCCATTTAGCGTGGGCAAAGTCTTCTAAAGCCGTAGGGGTACTGTTCTTCCTTTTAAAGCATTCCATTTGGACATTTGTCACCACTGAGTGAAGTTCTCTTGATGGAGACACGGCTAGGCATTTGGCCTGAGACTCACAGTGCCCACTCTCCCCCACTTGTCTCACACATCCTGCTAGTACCACCTTTCCATTCATCATCTCACCCTGGCCAGGAAACACACCACTCTGTGCTCCGATGTCCCTCCAGATTCAACCTCCAGCAGGAAGCAGGTGTCTGGCCTATGCTTTGCTGCTCCTGAACCTGGACCCCAGTTCCAGTATGTCCTTGCTGGCAGCCAACTCTGTGTGGTGTCTAGCCAGGCAGTGGCAGAGCCCCACCCCAACCCACAATCTGAACAGCGCTATCTGTTGTCATTTGTAATTTGGTAGGTTCCCCAAATGAGGTGTACTCTCAGGCCAGCCATGGCTGGACCCACCTCATAAGGATGCCGTAGGGAAATGGCTACGGTATTTCTGGAGAGCTCCGATCCAGGCGCACCAGAGAGCACACAGCAACTCTTCCATGGGAAATGTCCCCCACCGAGCTTCCTCCCCTTGATGTCATTTGGTCAAAGGCTCCATTTTGGCCTTGAGGACATGCTGTGACCATAGATGGCTACTTGGAAAGGATGTGGGAAACACCACACAAACAGGACACGATGATGCTGGGAAATACCAAAGCTCACTCTGCTCTTCACTCTGGCCTGTGTTTGCTGGACAGGGGCCCCAGGAAGGCTGCCACTGGTCAGAAGCCGCAGGTGACCATAGGCCTTGCTGCCAGGGTGGCATCCAGACTCCCCACAGGGAACTCACTTGCTCTATGCCAGGCACCAGGGACCACAACCAGGCCTCCTACTCCCGGCCCTCTCCCAGGTACAAGTAGTGTGATCATACTATGGTTTTGAGCAGGACACAGCCCCAGGATGGGTCAGGGTGCAGAGGGATAGAACACAAGGAGAGAAGGAGAGGAAGGTCCTACTGGGTGGGAGGAAAGGAAAAAGAAGAGGGAAGAGGAAAGAGCTACCCAGTGAGGGCTTCACAGGGTCTGCTTCTCCCTTCTAGAAGAATGTAAGAAGCTAAGATTACAGGGCCAGACCCAATGTTGGTGGAGCCCTGGGCCCAGCACCCATGAGTGAATGAATGATGGAAAACAAAAAGAATGCATAGATATAACAGGCTGAGAGATGGCTGGGGCAGGATCAGGAGCTCAGGGTTGGGGGCAGGAAGGCTTCAGGGGTACTAAGAACAGACTCAAGTAGATGAGGGTCAGGCAGAGGGCAGGTGTGTCACATGTGGAGTCCTGAGCCAAGACAGTGGCTGGGTAGATCTGAGGAGACTAATGTGTGAGGCTTCTGTGAAGAGCAGCATGTGCTCTGGAGGTTGGGACACAAGGAGTAGAGCCTAGCTGGGCCTGTGGGCACGGGCTGGCAGGGACAAACTTACCACTTTGGCAGGCATGGCAGGAAGCCATGTAGAAAAGAGCAGAACTGAGAATAAGTACAAGAACAGGCCAGGGATAGCTACCTTGGAAACCGGATGTAGCCAGGGTATACTATGGACTTGGGAGGAGGCAGCTGGGGCCTACCATGAGCCAAACGATAGCTGAAAGCAGGAAGGCAGGACCCAGGGTGGGGCTGAGTAAGGGGCTGTGGTGGGACTGAGCTTGGGTTAGAAGGCTTGAAGAAGGTATAGAGAGATGGCTTGTAAAGAATGGCCCTTGCTTCTGCTCACAGCCAGCTCTGCCTTGAGTGTGCTCTGGGTAACCTCCAAACAGACTCAGTGCCCAATGTGTGAAGATGGAGTGGAGCCAGGGTTGGGGGTAGATGTACTAGGAGGAGGGGGCAGAGGCTGGCAGGGCAGAGGCTGGGCCACTCACCTGCAGACAGCACATACAAAGCAGTCGGGGTGATACGTCTTGCCAAGTGCTGACACAACTTCGCCTTCAATGAAGTTGTCACAGCTGAAGCAGCGAGTGCCATAGAGCCGCTGGTAGTCACGTGTGCAGATGTGCTCACCCTGTCGCACGAAGAAGCCACCCTCGGCCAGGTCACAGCCACACGCTGCGGGGAAGATCAAAGGCTAGGTCAGTGGAGTGACCAATTCGTGCCTAAGGGCCCTGGTCCACCTAATGCAAGCTTCTGCAAACCTGAGTGGCTAAGAATATCTGGGACAGAGCTCCAGGGACAGCCACTAGACTAGAGTTAAGTGTACTTTTCTTGTGGAAGCTTCCAGGAAGAAGCACTGAAAAACTGAGGGCAGGACTAGCTTCCAACCCTTGCTAGGACATAACGAGGTTCTTTGGACCCTGAGATCCTGTGAGTCCTCCAAGCTGTTCCATTACTGGAAGAACAGATGAGCAGGGTGTGTGTGTACATGAGAGAGAAAGAGACAGAGACAGAGAAAGAGAGACAGGCAAAGGAAGAAAGATAAACAGACTGGCAGCTTTACACTCTATGCTCTGCTCTAGCCTGAAGGTCCCAGTGGAGGACAAGTGAGCCAATACTCGGTCCCCTGGTCTACAAGAAAACTTCCCATTGCCCCCTCCCCTTTCATCTGGGTTCCCACAGTCCTCAACCCCTGACCCGTGTAGTATGGCAAGGCCAGACCCAGAGCAAAAGGAGAACCCAGAGGCTCATTGTGAGTCACCAGTCCCTTCTAATACAGGGCTCCAGGGGGCAGAGACTGCTGAGCCTATTGGAGGAGCAGAGAGGGCCTGTAGGCTGTGCACTAAAGAATCTGCCCTGGGAATGCTGGTCACCAACAGCTGGCAAGCCCCGAGTCAACTTTTGAAGGCATAATATGCTCTTCCCTCATACCCTCTAGCTCCAGAAGCGTGGCTACTGGTATAAAATGAGAAAGGCCCTCCGTGTCACATGCATACACAGAGAAATGACAGCGTCAAAGCCACACCATTATTATAGCCCACTGCCTCAGCCTATGGCTGTTGCCATTGTCACTTCCGCCAGAGGCTGGATGCCAGCCTGGAGCCATGATGGATTCCTTCTCCACACCCAGTCTGGGAATGAACCCAAGGTCTAATCTTGTCCCACTTATAGATCAAACAAATGTCCTTTCTGTAAGAATAGGCCATGGGGCCGATAGATCTGCACAGGGTTGTTGTACAGCGCCTTGGAGACAAGACAATCACAGGTACTCAAGGTGCTGAGTCTGAGCTGCATCTGCTTGTCACAGCTGTGACATCACTGGTCAGTGCTCCGAGGGGGGATGTGTGCAGGGGGTGGGGACGTAGAATGAAGTGAGCCACACTGTAACATAGAGAGAGGGACAATGACAGCCATGGCTCCTGGACCTGCTATTGCAGCTGCCTGCTGGTTTGTGGCTGCATTAAGGGTTTCAAGGTCACCCCGAGGCAGTGACATCCCAGACCTCTGCTCCTAAAAATAAAAAGTCCAAGTTCACCAGTAACTCAAGTCCCTCATGGAGACAATGTGCCTCTATCGCATTACTATTTGAGGAGGATCAAGTTAGCAGAGGCCCGGAGGGTTTGGGGAGGTACTCATCTTTGAGTGATAGGGCTTGGCAGCAGCTGATGAAAAGCATGATCGGAATCACTTCCTGGAATTCTATCTTTTTTTAAATTTGTATGCATTCATATGTGTGTGTGGAGGCCAGAAGTCAGCTCCAGGTGTCTTCCTCAGTTGCTCTCCACATTTTTTTGGAGGCAGGGTCTCTGGGATTTAACTGTGTTGGCTTCCCAGTGAGCTCCAGGGATCCTCCTGTCTCTGCCAATCCACCAGTCCTGGGTTAAGCAAATTCACACCCACGCCTAGCTTTTTCTGTAGCTGTCGGGGTTCTGAGTTCAGGCTGCAGAGAGTGGCTGCTGCCCTCTGTAAGAAAGTTGCCCCAGAACCAATGTGTCCTTTCTTCTGGGGATGGGTGGTTTGGAGCTGTGTGAAATGATAGAAAGGGCTGGTCCTCCAACCCCCAACCCATGCCCGATATGTGGAGCCTGAGGCCACAGATTTCCTGGCTATGCTGGGTGTGAGGTGCCCATGTCATCATTTTTATTTTCCAAACAGCCCCAGTCATCATCCTGGGGTTGCTATCACAAAGGATTCTGGTTGCTGTGTGGCAGTTGGGGAGGGGCTAGAAATAAGGTGTGTCATTGTGAGAATTCAGTAGGGCCAAGGTGACTGGGATGCCTAGGCCCCCCTCCATCCTGGTGGCTCTTGAGACATTACTAAAAGCCATTACTAAAAGTTACCCATGCCCTAGGCTGGTGTTTGCCTCAGCAGAAGTCAGATCCCTCAGGATCCCAGAATGAGGTAAGAACTAACTCAGGCTCACTCAGTGTCCCTCTCACTACCCCCACAGGGCATGTTTCTCCTGTGGAGGCTGATCATCCAGAGCTGATGGCACCAGGGTTGTTTTGTGGTGGCTCTTTCTGCAGAAAATTCTCTTTTCAAATGTCGGGACTTTATACACTATAGCTGAGCCAGAGGACCAGAGTGGGGGTAATACAGCTCTTCAAACAGGGGCCGGGGCAAATCTCTAGGTTCAGGGGTCACAGAAGGACCTAAAATCAAGACCCTAGAAGCTTCTAGCTACACCTCCCGCTCCCCAAAGTTGACCTGGTAACGTTATCTCCCACCTAGGGCAGCCTTTTCTCGCCTGGCAAATTTCTGTCTGCAAGTCCCAACCAAATGCATCTCTACTGTGGACTCCTTTCTGGAAGCCTCTGGACCCTCCTCAGACTTCCATATCCCAAGGACTTGGCTCCTACTCTTTCTATCCAAGCAGTAAACTTAACATTCCCTCCCTGCCCTTCATTGAGGGTTACTGTGGCGAGGGTAGTGCCAATCTCCCCACAGCCCAGAAGAACATCACTGCCAAGCCAGGAGGCATGTGTGTAGGGCTCCAAAATAGCATCCCTTTCACACTGCCAGCTCTGTGAGCCTGGACGCCATTTTTAGCGGGTGGGTCCTACCCACTGTGCTCTGTGGGTACTTGTTCTCACATTTCTGGGGTGTTGGGTGGAGGCGGACCTGGTCTTCTGCATGCTTGTGTAATTAAGGGCAGAAGAGGAGGCTCCAACCCCAGCCGTGTCCGCCGAAGACGCTGCACTCACAGCTCTGGCCCCTCTTCTCCTTGCCTTCTGGTATTATTTTAAATTGCTGTGTTTTTAGACTACTTTCTATAAGTAAAGAAAAACTAATGGCTTTCATTTGGAATGTTTTCACTGCTACTACAGGGAGGATATGGCATCTGATGGAGCAAGTCCACCCTGAGCCTGCCACTGATTTTGCACAGCCCGCAAAAGGTCACTGACAGTCTCTGCAGTGCCCCAGTAGCTCCAGATTGGCTTCTCTGATTCTGGGCCAGCCTCATGCACCCACCCCTGTGGACCTAGTGTCTCCCTAGGCTCCTCCAGGGCCCCCTGAGGATTTCTTCGTCATACCAGATGGCCTAAGACATAGGTTCAGGGCACTATAGAAGCTCAGGTGTGGTCAGAGAGAGCAAGAAGAGTGGCTGGAAAGCCCTGGGTTCAGGACACTGTGGCCAAGCAAAGGGCCAGTTCCACACCTACCTTTACACACAAAGCATCTGATGTGGAAATACTTGTTCTGCACACGCAGCACCTCCCCCTTGCACACATTCCCACAGGTATTGCACAGGATCGCGGTGCTGGCTGGCTTCTCCAGGGGAGCAGGAGCAGCCTGGGGCTCTGACACTGCAGGGAGAAGGGAGTCAGATTAACATGAGGGGCACCTCAGCCAAGGAGAGCAAGCAGAAGGCCTCCCAGCGTGCCCTCCTCACCCACAGCTCTGGTCCTGTAGGGCATGAGGTGATGGTCCGACCCCTCCTTCTGTCTGGGGTCAAGTGGCACTCAGGTTGTATGGCAAGTGACAGTTCTGAGGGCCAAGACCATCTGGTAAACCCACTCTGCTCTCCTCAGGGAGCTGTCCTATCTCTATCTCTGCATACATATCTATGGTGTCCCAACAGATCTCTCCACTGCTGAAGTGGCAAGGCCACCCCTGTTCCCTTCTGAGGAGCAACTAACCCTTGTGGCATCTATCTGGTACAACTTTGACACCCACAGTCTCAGAGAGCTATCACTTCCAGACAGCTTAGCAGCCCTTCAACACTGGGACCCTTAGCCTCTTCTTCAAAACCAGCTGCAATCCTCAGAGAGCTGGTTTCATATCTCCTTTGGGTCCCAAAACATGAGAATGAACATCGTTAGTGTCCCTGGAGAGTCAGCCACAGCCAAGTAGGCTGTTGAAGGAGGCATTAGAAACCACAAGTTCAAGAGCCAGGGCTATGGTACCATGTACCCGTTCCATGGCCTGATAAAGCATCTGCAGATGTCATCTGTCAGCTCACGGGATGCTGGGTCATGGTGTGAAAGCCTTGGGTCTACACCTCAACTGCCCTGTAGCTGAGAAGCATCTCAAGTTTTTGGGCTAAAGAAAAAATAAGTTGGCTGGAGAAACTAAGGAGACACAAGGCCCAGGTGGCCACACAGGGATCACGTGGGTTTGTGACCAGAAGGGAGGGGATGTCAAGGGTCTGGCCTAGAGAGGCCACACAGTGGGCAATACACAGGCCTTGCCACCCCAGCACTGTGCCCAGATATATATTGGGACATTAAGACCGTGTATGGTGTTTGGAGATCTCCGAAGCTCAGAGAAGGGCTGAGGAGGAAAAGGAAAAGCCATTGTCTGTCCAGCATGGCTTGATGTCATCATAGGACATATCCTGGAGCCAGTGGAGATGTGATTAAGGAAGATGTCAGAGAGGCACAATATAGCTAGTCTTGACAAGGAAGGACCATGAGCCATGAGAGCTAGCCTCTCCAGAAGCCAGCATTCCATCTGCAGCTACAGAAGGAACAGCCGCAGCTCAGCTCACAACCTGCTCAGTCCTCCTTGCTACTCATCTTCATTACTGCAGCCATAGGACACACACACACAATGGTAGCGGTGGAGGGGAACAAAGCACACTGGCCATCTCCCCTTCTTCCCTTGTAGTGGTCAGGACCCACCACTAACAAGAACAGCCCACAAGAGTAATCTTAGTCAATCACTGTCTCAACCATCACGCTGAGAACAAATGCACAGCCATGCTCAGGGACCACAGATGCAGGGTGGTGACCCACAGCCTTCAGCCACATGCCAGGGAACCCAGTTCCATCTATAACACAACCAGAGGCCAGACTCACCTACAGCTGCTGCCTGACCTTTGCCTCTGCCTCCCACCTAGAACCAGCCATAGAGGCCACACTGCCCCTAACCTGTTACTTCAAAAATCTGCCTCGAGTTGGTGCTTCAGCTTGCCCAGGCTGATAGCCTCCATGGGGCTCACTTCAGCCTCCCTCTTTGACAGGACTTTTCCCACCCTCTGTGACCTATGCCACTCTGATGACCACAGCGACCATGGTGGCCGCTCAGCAGCAGCATGGTGCATCCCAAACCCTTGTTATCACGTGCAGCCATTTTCCCTTCATCCCCACAATCTCCCAGCACCTTGGCCTGGCCACAGTGGGACTTCTATCACACTTACTTCCTGTCTCTTCTCTACTAAATTGGATCAGAAACATTCGTCCATAGTATAGAAAGCTGGGGGGGGGGGCACAGAGAGCCAGGGCCTCTGGCTCAGCTAGGTTTTGAGAGGCTCAGTGTGGCCAGGCCTTTAGCTATGGGCAGGAAGCACAGCTGGAGTCAATGTTCACAGCTGTGCATGGCTGGGCCACTGGTGGCTCTTGGAGGTGACGTCCATGTGAGTCAACCTGGTCCTGTGTGGCTCAGAGATGTAGGGTGGAGTGGCTCTCCAGAACTTTTATGTCCATCCAGTTTGGGACACAAAGAACAATGGGCAGCATCTCCTCGTGGTCAGACAAGGCAGGGATTATATGGCTGGAATCTGACGCAAGACCATGATGAGCAAGAAGTCATTTGAAGATCTGGGGTTCTCATAGGCTGAGGGGTAAGCGGGTCTGGGATACAGTCTCAGTTCTGCCCCTGGTGGGGTTGTGATTTCGAGAGAGTTTCTGTCCACGCCACTCTTCCACCCCACCACCCGCCTTCTAGCTGCCTTTCCATCTGTCCTTCCTATCCGCCCACCCTCTGCCTTCGATCTGTCCTTCCATCTGTCCTTTCCATCCACCCACCCTCTACTCACATCCCCTGGTCCTGGGGGAAACCAGGATCAAGGGCAAAGCAATTTGCTTAGCAACCAGCCCAGCAAACACTGAAGTGTTCTATAGCAATGACCACCTCGGTTTTGTTTGTTTGTTTGTTTGTTTGTTTGTTTCAGTAATATGTGGGGGCTGGGTGTATCTCAGTAGCAGGGCACTTGCCTGGCATGCAAAGGCCCTGGGTTTCATCCCTAGCACCAGTTCCCAAGTTACTGGAGACACATTTGGTTTGAGGGGAAAACTCTATTAAGAGTATGGATTAAATTGTTCATAATGTAGATTATTATTAATTAAAATATTATTATAATTAAATCTTTTATCAATAAAAAGAGGGAGAGAGAGAGAGAGTGGATTTGCTGGCCAGACCCCACCCTGCCCACTAGAAAAACCTGGAGCTGTGGACATGGTCATGGTACTGCCCTCTGGTGGTCAGAGGAAGATCTGAGCCATGAATTGACCTCCCAAGAGAGGGGAGGAAAACCCTACTAGCTTCCCTCCAGCATGGTGAAATAGTTGCAGATTTGACAGGTGGGCCTTTTGCCCCTAGTGGGATTCATTCCTAGAACATGAGGCACTTGTGGAATAGCAAAGTCAAGGGTACCCATGGAGATGCAACAGCAAGCCTGCCCAGCCCGATTGCTTCCTTCCTGCCCCCATCCCCTGTCAGCACTACCCAGAGGGAACTGTTTCTCGCAGCAGTAGCCAGCTCCCGCTGCTTGTGGGTGACTTGAGGCTCTGAGACAAGATGGAGTCAGGAGGTCAGGAGGCCATCGGAGAAAGCGGGGTCCCCAGCTGTCCAACGCTGCAGGAGGCATCTGTGGGGGTGGGGAGCTGAGTCCTGGCAGAGGAGGAGTACTCAGGATGCAGGGGTTTGGTGTGGCTCATCCAGTGACCCTGCCTCCCTAAAATGGCTCCAAATATAGAAGTACCCAGAGCAAAGCTGAACAAGCTGTCCTTGAAGGTCAAAGACAGTCTGGCAGCCAGGGGCACACAACTGTTAAGAAAAAGCAATCTTTCCAACTAATAAATTACCCAAACAGAGATGACAAAGGCCCAGGCACCTCTGAGGCCGGCGTCTCCTGTCCTCTTTGCTTGGCTTTGGCTGGGCTGGGCTGGGCACAGATCCCCTTCCCTGGCTCCAGCCCAGACTCTGTGAAGTAACTCACCAGGGAACACAATGGTGTAACCTGCTGACTTCTTTTCAACATTCTGCTTAGCTTCAGACCTACTGGGTGCAAAGGCTTCTGTTCATTCCTTCCAAGTCCCCCAAGAAGCCAGCAAGAGAGAAACTTGAGGCCAAGAGCAGCTGAATGGTCCAAGGCCAGCCATGCCAAGGCTTGGGAGCACCAATCCAGAAGGGTAGGGGGAAGCCTGCACAGTGCAACTCTGAGGCCCATAACAAGGCCTATAATCCTGGGGATCCAGGATTTTTTTTTTTAAATGTCTTTGGTGATTCCAAATCATCCCCTTAGCTGCTATCCAAGTGACTTTGGCTAAGTACATGCCAGAGAGCTGATTATGGCTGTCCCATCAGAGGGCCTCTCTCTGGGTTGCATTTGAGAGAGAAGACATCACATAAGAACTGGAACCCACGGGATCCTGCTCCACTGGAGTCTGATTTGGGGGAAGGGGCTTCACAGGGCTGAAGGCTCCTCCCAGAAGGCTGTTCTAGAGCCTGGGGTCGACAGGGCCACAGAGTGGAACCCGCGCTTGGAACATCACTGCATCTTCCAGAAAGGCAGCTGACAAGGCATCGGTACTGCCAGAGTCATAAAACGTCGGCTTCACTTCTGGGCATCTGTGCTCATTTTTCAATGTCTGTCAATCTCCAGTGTCCCCTGGCACCCCCAATCCCAGTTCACAGGTTCACAGCTGGTGGCTACTTCTGAGCTTTCTTGTCATCCCTAGACACAGGCTCTTCAGAGCCTGAGCTGAAGACCTCTCTGTCTCCTTCCCCTCCTTATGAACTAATCCCCTGTGCCTGTGCCTCTGCCTCTGGAGAGTCCTCCAAGATTTTCTCCAGACTGACAGGCCTTCACACCTGACTGCATGTCAGGCACCTGTGCATGAGGTCTGCATACTGGAGGGCACTGCCCCAGACAGGGAAGGCTTTGGAAGGAGTCAAGTAAGTTTAGTCACATCCTCTGAGCCCCTAGCTCAAAGCCTGCCATAATAGGCTTGAGGGATTGTGATGAGGTAGAAGGAGCCTCACCCTGGCACCTCCAGCAGGGGAGTGGAGAAGCTCTCAAGCATGGAAGGTGACTTAGCATTAAGAACTGAATGCCAATCCCTGAAGAGCTCTCAGGAACCTGAAACACATGTCACCAAGGGAAAGCAGCCAGTCCGGAAAGTCGCGGCTTCCGCCATGGCTTTCTGGAAAAAGGCAAACCTGGCGACAGTTAGCGGGTGACTGCCGGGTGAGGTGGCATGTGCCTTTAGTAGAAGCAGTTGAGGACAGGCAGGCAGATCTCTGGGAGTTCAAAGCCAAGCTGGTCTAGATAGCCAGTTTAGGGTTGGGAGAGAGGGAAGGA